CCAGGCCCGGGGCTGGTCAGGCTGGGGATGCCCTGCTTCTAGTCCCATTTCCTCTCTGGCCAGGCTCTGGCCACCTGGAAGAGCCGATGGGCCCTTGGGCTATTGCGGCCACCCTCGCTGCTCTGCGGGAGCCCCAGTTGGGCTGCCTTCCCTGGCCGCCTGCCGACCCCACAGTTAGGTAAACCTATGGCAACATTAACAGAGGTGGCCGCTGCCATCCTCAGGACCTTCCACAAGGAGGCCCAGGTCTCTGCTGCTGGTGAAGCTCTGTCACCTCTAACCGGCCGTTTGAGTCTTATAACTGCCCATGAGGGAGGTCATTGTGATACTTGCTAGTTGTAATCACAGTTACAACAGTCAGAGCAAAGGTTCCATGAGCACTTACTATGCACCAGCTGCCACGCTGCCGTCCACCAGCTCCCTTGATTCTCCCAGCAAGCCTGGGGGGCGGGCTGGACCATCACAGTGATTATCCCCACCTCACAGACGTGACAAGTGGGACTCCGAGAGGTCACCTAACCTGCTGGAGTGGCAGAGCTGGGGCATGGACCTTGGGCTGCCTGACTCGAAGCCCCTAATCTTACCCCTCATCATCCTGCTGTTGCCGCCTTACTGATAATTCCTATTTACGGATGACCAAGCTGAGGCTCCAAGAAGCTGCCAAGATGACACAGCTCGTAAGTGGCAGAGCCAGGATTCCATCCCTGCTCCCCCAACCAGGAAGCCCCGGCTGGCTCACTACAGCACATTCCGGGGTGGGGAGGGGGCCTCTTTTCAGTTTTCTGCTGGATGCTCCATGGCAGAATCTGGCGCATCCACAGAGCTCGGTAACGGTGGTCTGAGCTTGGAAAAGGGACCTGCTCCCTCAGGAATTCCTGCTGTCCTGCGGGGGTGGGGAGTCTACCTGTGTATTCGGGAAAGCAGATGGTTAGTGGGGACTTCTTGATCTTCTCCTCAAATATGTCCTTCTTGTTGAGAAACAGGATGACGGACGTGTCCGTGAACCATTTGTTGTTGCAGATGCTGTCAAAAAGCTTCAGGGATTCGTGCATGCGGTTCTGCAACAGAGCGGAGAGGCCATTGAGGGCGGGCAGCGCCCGGGACCCTGACCCACTACGGCCACCAACACAGCGAGACAAGCAAAGGACAGGTCCACCAACGCGGCTGAACGCATCACCGAGGGACGGAGACGGGAGGACCCACAAGGACAAATGGGATGTGGATCCTGCTTCATTCCACACGCAGGCGGGGTGGGGTGGCGCGGGGCGGGCAGGGTGGGGAACACTGCCCCCCAAGAGCGCTGACCCAGGATGGGGGCAGCGAGGTCACTGGAAGGATACCAGATCACGGAGAGGACATGCACCATGCATGCAGGGCAGGGGCCGCACCACCATCCAACACGTCTACACGGAACCGTGGGCCATGCAGATTTCTCTACTGGGGTCTCATTCGGTTTTGCCAGCGGGGGTGGGAGGGTGCACGCATTCAGTTGGAAGACATTAACCGAGGACTAAGAGATCCTCGAATTAATCCAGAGTTGGAAGCAGACACCAGGGGGCAGCATCTGGGGGGTGATCTTGCTGTGGCCTTGACGTGGTTGGGGGATTGGGTTGGTTGGCTGGGCCCTGGCTGGGCTGGGGGCGGCTCTGAGTGAGCTGGCTGTTGGGGCTGGTTTCTCAGTAGAGGGGCCAGAGAAACCCTAAGACGAAATCCAGCAAAACAGATTAAAACAGAGAGGAAGACAAAAGCCCAGCAGAAAACATGAGAGAAAGAGAGAGAAAAAAACCCCCAAAATTGGTTCAACCAGTGTGGGGCCAGGAAGTCAAGGCCAGTCCATCCTGAGGCCCCAGTGCAGGTTCACAGAGGCCACGGCTGCCCCAGGACTGCGGACTGCGGGGCTGGAGCTGGAAAGTGAGGGTGGAAAGGACCAACCTGAGCCGAGTGGGTGGTGAGGAGTGTGGGACACGGGAGTGGGCGGGGCAGGCGTCCACAGCAAAGTCACCCGGTGGCGCCCCGAGAACCTGCTGCTTTCAACTCTTAGCTGATGGTTTCGACTGGAGGGAGGTGCTTCATACCTGCCCAGCCTGGAGGGTCTCAGAATCTGCTGTTGGATTTGGCCTTGGTTTGGCAAGTTAAGGCCCTGCCGGCGGTGGTGACGGTAGTGGTGGTGGAGAAGGTGTGGCAGGTGGAGGCCCAGTGCCACTGGAGCCACGGGCCTGAGGTACGAGGACAGGATGAGGCCCCCGGGGTCCGGAGGTGAGGCTGACGGGGACAGGTGGTGGGCGGGCAGCCACTACCCCAGGGCTCCCAGCTGAGCTCCAGGAGCCGCCCGTGTCTCGGCAGCCCCAGCATGTGCCCCAAGGCCAGAGAGGGAAGGGCTGACCAGAGAGGAAGTCTGAAGACCAAGGACTGGTCAGCGGGGCCTGGCTCTGGCTCCCGGGGGCAGAGCATCCGTATCCCAGAACGTGTCCTTTAGCCATGCGCCTGGACAGAGGAGCCCGACAACGGCCAGTTACTGCGTGAAGAGTCCCGAGGGCAGGCACTCCCATGGCTCCGAGCCCAGGGGTCCTCACAGCCGCCCACGAGGCTGCTCTGCCACCATCGCCGTTTCACAGAGGAGGAGGTGGAGGCCCGGAGAGGGTGGAGCGGCTGCCCACGCTCACACAGCGGCAGGGGCAGCACTAGGCCCTGGGCCAGATCTGTCTGGCTCCCTGGCTACACAACGCTGCCCCATGGCCCTGGACACACAGACGTTTGCTTAGTTCTGCAGCGACGGTGTTTTCTTGCTGCCTTTGTGGGCTGTTGTCAAGTTGTGAAGCCAATTCTGGTCCCCTGGAGGGGCTGCCGCTCTTTCCTGGGCTGCGTAGGTGGCCCGCTTTGGGGCAGAAAGGGCCTCAGGAGGAGCCCGTTCCCGGCCCATGTGCCTTTGTTTCCCTAAGGTCCTCCGCTCCAGCCCTTGAGAAGAAGGGCAGCGGAAACAGGAGCAGGAGGGCGGCGGGGAAGGGGAGAGAGGAACAGTAAGGCAGGAAGGCACCAAGGAAGGTGGAGGGAAAGTGTCCCAGGATGTGGGCCCTGCTCAGAGCAAGGGCTGGAGAGGCTTCTGCAGAGCGCCTGGGACTTGGTTTAAGCTGTCTGAGGCCTGGCAGGACAGGTCCCAGAGGAGAGGGCTGCCCAGTGAGAAGGGTCCTCCCACCCTACACCCTCTTTGAAAGCCGGCTGGGTCAGCATCGCACTCACGGCACAGCCCTGCTTCCCACTCCCAGGCGTTGCAGGGAGAAAAGATGAGCCAAGCAGAGCTCGGACCACATGGGTGGCCAAGTGGACCGTGAACAGTAGCTCGAAAAGCACAGTCAAGCGACGGAACAGTGAAAGATGTGCCACGGCAGTCCCTGGGCGCGGACGCATGTGGGGGCATGGAGCTGACCTGGGCTTTGGGTGGTCAGTGAATCCAGGTACAAGCACGACCCGGGCGCGAGTCTACCCTGACCCCACCCTCAGCTCCAGGTGACTCTTGGATGCCACAGCCTGCAGGTCACCAAGAATGACGGCAGCGTCACCAGAGAGAGCTGCAGCTGAGGCCACGGGAGCCTCCCCTGGGACAAGGCAGGGCTTGGGGGGCTTTGCTGAAGCCCAGCTCAGGGGTGCAGCTGGGCCTGGAGGAGGAAGAGCACGGTGGACACGCCAGCACATGGGGCGAGGCCGACTCACCCACCCAGCTGGCGGCTTCGGCTTCCTCAATCTGCCAGAAGCCCCATCGCTAAGTCCCTCAGGACAGCGGCTACTCCTCCCCACAGCACTGCACCCGCAGCCCGCACCCCACAGCCCATCAGATCCTCACAGCAGCCCCGAGGGACCAGCAGGCCAGGACTGATGAGGAAGCTGAGCTGGACGGAAGACAGGCCCTGCTCAAGCCCCACCTCCAGCCTCAGTGCGGACTCGGCGAGGCTCAGTGCCGAGGGGCTGCGCGCGCCTGACAGAAGGAGCTGACCAACGCCAAAGGCGGGACCCCACGGCCCAGGATCTCCACCCCAGGAGGTGCTGTGGGCTCGTCTCCAGTGACCCTGCAGGGGCACCACACCAACAACCGGCTTCCCTTGCAGGCGCTGCGGACAGGCCCACCGCCCAGTGGGCTGCAGCCAGACGGCAACTGCTCAGAGGACCCCCCAGCTCTGGACAGTCACCAATGACGGTACAATCACCAAGTCGGCGCTGCTGTGCCAGAAACGGTTCCAAGTACTTCACCCGATTCCCTCATCATCGTCAACGCCCCACAAGGTAGGATTGCTGTCACCCCCTTTGACAGATAACAGCAACTGAGGCAGAGAGGGTGCTGCCTGAATTGGGCAGCGAACCAGGACTCGGCCCAGAGAGAGGCAGCACCCCTCTCCAGGTGAGTGGCCCTCTCTGAAGCCAGGCTGGCAGTTCTCCAAGGCCCCAGACACAACAACTCACCAATGGAAGGTGGGAACCTGGGCTGGCATCCTCCAAGGGACGGGCCCCGGTTGTCACTTGCCACTATGCCGCATGCCCACTGCCCTTCCCGCTGCCAGGCCCATATGCCCCTCCTGGCAGCAGCCCGGCCCGTGCTCAGGAGGGCTGTCAGGGCTAAGAACTGCTATATCTGTCTCAGGTACATCCTTGCTTGACTGCACCCTGATTTCTTTTAGGATCTGCTTAATGTGGTTCTGGCCTGATGGCCTCTACGACTCTGCTACATTTACTGAAGATGACTCACTGCCCTAGACCCAAAGTCTGCAGAGATGTTTGCAATCAGTCTGCACACAGCTCCTGAGCCTGGGGGCCCACAGCTGCATTTTCTGCATTGTTATCACGACGCATTCACCCGGCAATATAGTCAGAAGAGCAGGCACGGCCCGCCCAACAACGGACCCCCCAGCTCCTGCAGCCAGCCCCGCCCCAGAGCCGCCGAGGGCCACTGAGGCGAGTGCCGCAGGTCCTCCCGGTGCCCCCTCCCGCCGGGCGCGCCCAGAGCCACTCACCGTGGTCTCGTCTTCGTGGAGCACCTGGTCATAGCCGCTGAGCGCGACGCAGAAGATGATGGCCGTGACGTCCTCGAAGCAGTGGATCCACTTCTTGCGTTCAGATCGTTGGCCCCCGACGTCGAACAGCCTGTGGGGGACAGGAAAGATGGGAGTGGTGGGCGGTGGGGCCCAGGTGGGTAGGGATGCAGGTCGAGCTAAGGGGCAGGAGGTGGAGGGGGCTGGGCACGTGCCCCCAGCCTTCCCAGGAGCCCCGCTCCCCGTGCTGACAGCCGGACCACTGCCCTCCACGGGCCGGGGGCAGCCATCACTGCGGCCTGTCCCATGACTGGGCTGTGCTCACAGAGTGACTCAGAGACCTGCCCTTGCATCTCAAGCATTTTATTGAGGGGTACACCTCTGCCGGCCCCCGAGAAATGCCTCTGCAAGGCCCTCCTCTCAGGGTAACACGCACATCCTGTTCCTGGCTTTCTGGGCGTCTCTGCTCTTGGCTGTGGTCTGGGCAAAGTCCAAACCAGTGGGGAGGGAGGCAGGCAGGGACTGTCACCTGTTATGTGGAGGGAAAGTGAGCATCTAGGGGTTAAAAGCCCAGGGTGCTGGCGAGAGATGGCGTGGCAGAGCCAGGGTCTGACCCAGGTCTGTCCACAGACAAAGCCTCTTACCTCTGCTCTGTGCCACCCCTCCCTGGCAAGGTGCCTGCCTCTCCCCCTCTCAGGCGCCATCCCCCAGGGGGCAGGAGGGCTATGGGAAGAGACCATCGGCAGGTGGGGTGGATGTTCTGGAAGCAAGAGGTCAATCTCACACCCTAACGCCCTGAGCGAAGGTCTGCAGCCTCCTAGGCCTGGGAACCCTCTTGGCACAAAGCTGCTGGGGTGGGTTGGCCCTGACCTCGTGTGCACAGGGACCCTGGGCCCTCCAGACAGAGGAGAGCAACCACAGGCAGAGACCAGAGTGGGTTCGGAGCAAGGAAACAGATCTGGTTCCCGTCCTGTCACCGCCTCCCTTGGCTCCTGCTTCCACATCAGAAATACAGGCCCTTGGCCGATGGCCGCTGTGGCCCCTCCACAATGCTTATCCTCAGACTCTGCCTGCGGGGCAGCACCCTGTGCCCCAAGGGGAGAGCGGGAGAGACTGAGGAGACTAGGAGGCGAGAGGCACCTTGTGGGGGCCGCTCTGCCCTCTGCTGCACTCCCCAGGTCTAGGGGAGGCCGAGAAGCTCCTGTGCCCAGTGTGGCTCCTACGGCCCTGCCAGAGAGGCTGTCCACCAGGCCCAGGGGCCTAGAGACAGAACCTCGGCCCCTCAGGTGCACAGGGGCAGGGGCTGGGGAGGTGGGCGGCAAGCGTTCTGGTGTCCAGCCCTTCCAGGCCGGCCAGGGGTGGGAATGGGCCTTGTACTCTCCACCTGCCTGCAGTCCCTGCCCTTCTGGCTGCTCCTCCTGCTCTACCCAACACCCAGAGCCACACCTGAAGGCAGGCGGGTGCAGGACAGGGGCTCCCAGGCCTCAGTGCATGTCTCCACCCCAAGTGCAGACACAACCCGCCAGCAGGGCCTGAGAGGTCCAGCCCCATGCCTCAGGCCCTGTTCTGAGGTACTCAGAGCCCCTGGGCTTCAGGTGTATTCTGGGCTTGGGGCAGCCTAGCTCTTCTCAGGCCTCAGTTTCCCCGTATGTACTGGGAGAGGGTGGGTCAGCTGATCCCTAAGCCCCTGCCAGCTCCGGAAGTACATGGGTCCCTGGGGTCTCACAGATTGGGCTCACTCACTCTCATTCCCCACCCCTCCCTACAAGGTAGCCTTGGAGGGGCTGCCCGGGTGATCCGCCCTCCTCCTTACCCTCAGAAGTCACCCAGGGACAGGCTCCCCTCCTTTGTCCATTTGAACCCTCCCTATTCCTCAGACTTCCATGCTCCAGGACTCCTCTTCCAGGAAGTCTCCCTGCTCGCCCCAGCCCCTGAACTTGGTGGAAAACAACAGACAGATACCATCCCTTCTGACACCTAACTGCCTGTCCCAACGCGAAAGCTCCCTGAGGCAGGGTGACACCTGGGTGCTCCAGACAAGCTGCAGCCAAAGGCTGGCCTCTCCCATCTCTCAGCACCCTCCCCAGGGCTCAGGAGTCTCCCTGGGCCTCACCTGAAGTGGAGGTTCTTGAATGTGAAGTGGGTTTCTACGATGCCGGTGGTTTTGACCCTGGTTCGGAGGATGTCCTGCTCGGTGGGCTGGTAGTCAGCGGCCCCGATCCGATCCAGGCTGTCCAGGTAGCTGGGATGGCAACACACAGGGACCATGGACCAAGTGCTGGGCCCTGCGCGGGGCATGCTGGGCAACCCCCTTCAGAGCCCGGTCCCGCCAGGGCCCCTCGAGGGCCGACTGGAAATGATGGCACCACCGCATCCAGGGCCAGATAGGGGTGTGGGGTGGGGGCGGCGACTGGGGAGGAGCCTCTGTCCTGGCCTCACATTCTCAGAGCCTCTAAATCAGACCAAAAGGGGCTAAGCACACAGTTCCAGGTACACTCAGACAAGATCAAACTTTCAATGAGACTAACACGTTTATCACGCTGTTGTGTCATTTATTCATCTTAAAATAATAACGGCCAACAGTTAGGCTCTATTCTTTACATGTGGGATTATGTTTCATCCTTAGTTTCTGAGTTAAATGTGCTATTTTATACATTAGAAAACTGAGTGGATGAAGTAAGTACCTTGCCCGGCTGTGAGCCACGGCCTGACCTGGACATCAGGCTTGAGTCCATGCTCTAACCAGTGCTCTGCAGTGCCTCCATGAGGCCCTCTGAGCATCTGCCTGCCTTTCTCATCCTTCCTGAGAGTTTACCAAGGGGTCTGTGCGCATGTTCCCATTTGATGCTCTCAGAAGGGAGGCTCAGAGGCCACACAGCCGGGCAGTGGCTGGGCCTTGCTGGGACCCAGGTCTCTGGCATCAGGGCTCTCTTCCCATGCCACCACTTGCTCTGGAGACAGACCAGGCTTTTGCACTTCACCGCACAGGCCAAGCACCAAGAAGAGCTTTGGGGTCTGTATGGGTTAGGTTTGAACCCAAAGTGAGGGTGGGATCCAAGAAACCAAGAGAGAGAAAGTTGGGCCAGGCCTGCGGGAAGATTCAGTGATCCACAGGGCCGGCTGGGCCACCCATTCCTCGGGCCTGGCGGTGGGGAACCACACACACCCCATGGGGGAGGAGCCCCGAGCGTCCAAGCCACAGGATGATGTGGGGTCCCAGATTGCATGTGGAGGGGCCGTGCTTCCTCAGCACTTGCCCCAGGACCTTCTGGGGGCCGGCTTCCTGGCTTGTGGATGTCCACGGGGCTGGGAAGAGTGGACGCCTTCACCAACGAGGGTGTCCACCGGTAAACCAATAACCCAGGCCTGGCTCAAATCCTTGTGAGAATCTTCCCTAGGGAAATAAAACCAAATGGTGGGTTCCCAGGCTCCGGGAGGGTAAGCTTGAAGTCACACTGCTAAAAGGGGACACTGCTAGGATTCCAGCCTGGGTCTGCCTGACTCCAGAGCCCGTGCTCTTGGACAGGCCTCCAGGCCTCCTCGCATCTGTGGAAGGAGGGGGGCTGGGGCTCCAAAGCAGATCTAGAAGCTCTGGCTGCCTCAGAGCCTCTTCACCAGGCCCGTGGGTGTGGGCTCTGGTCTCTGCCTGGAGCAGGCCCTCCCAGCTCTTCCCGATCCTCCTAACCCCTCTGTGCGTGACCCTTTCCTGCTCCCACTGCCTCTGCTGGGAGCCTGTGCTGGTTTCAAAATGACCCCCTCCTGTCGTCTCCAGCTGGACACCAGGGCTGGGGAGCCTCTGTTCTTGGCTCCCCTATCCCAGCTCCTTTAGACAGACAAGCTGGCCCTCTGTCTCTTTGTGCTGGCCGAGCCTCACGCAGGGAGATGGCCATCGGAGGGAGGGTGAGCAAAGCAGAGTGTGCACCTATCGTAGGTTCTACCTACCCACTGTCCCAGTGAACAAGACTGACAGACACGACCTTCCCGGAGCCTACGTTCGTGTGTATATGTGTGTGTATATGTGTGTGTGTGTCTGTGTGTGTGAGAGAGAGAGAGATAATTAACAGGTAACTAAGATATATACCATGTCAGGCGGTGGTGTCAGGAGGAAGGAATTAGGTGATCGATAGGTAGTGGGGAGGCCTGCTGGGGGCTGCTATTTGATACAGGATGGTGGGGGAGGCTTCTCGGGCGGAGTGACAGTCGAGTGGAGACTGAGGGGAGTGAAAGGGAGCCTCCCGTGGTCCAGCAGAAGGCCCCGCAGGCGCAGAGGCCACGCCTGGAGTGGAGGAGGTAGTGCAGGCACCAGGAAGCGTCCAGGACGGTGAGGTAGGAAGCACAGGTGTTGGAGCAGGTAGCAGTGGGACTGGAGTGGGGTGATGGAGGCGAGGGGGGGCCAAGCACATGGGCCCAGGGGTCACTGCAAGGACTTGGGCTTTTGCTCCGAGTGAGATGGGAGCTCCTGGAAGGTTCTGACCAGAAGCGTGTTGGACTAACGGCTCTGCTGCTGTAAGGAAAGCAGCTGGGGAGGGAGGAGCAGGGAGCGGGTTAGGAGCTGTCGTAATCAGTGAGAGGTGGTGGCGGTCGGGCCACAGTGGTGGCTGTGCAGGGACGAGAAGTGGGATATGGAGGGAAGAGCTGGTTAAGCCCTTCCGCGTGGTGGAGTGAAGCTGCTCGTCGTGGGAGGAAGAGTGGCGGCGGAGCAGGTCTGGGGGGAGGGCGGGAGCCAGGAGTTGAGTGGCCGCGTATTGATCCGAGATGCGCAGGGATGTGCAAATGGACACTGAGTGTCAGAACTCAGGAGCGGAGGCTGGGCTGGCGGTTTAGATTTGAGAGTTGTCCTGGTGCATGAGGAATTTAAAGTAATCAGGCTGGAGATCACGCAGGCGCTCCGTGTGGACAGGAAGAGCTGCCAGGGCTGAGCTTGGGCCTCCAGAGAGGGGACCGGGGCGGGGGGGGGGAACAGTGAGGGGTCAGAGAAAGGGCGGCCAGTGAGGAAGGCTGGGGCCCGGCAGCCGAGTGGATGGCACTGCCAGGAGGTCAAGGGCTGCTGCCAGCCGCGGAGCTCAGGCAGGAGGAAGCCTGAGCGGGGCCTGGGCCGGGCTTGCCCGGGCAGTCTCAGGGGGTGCAGGAGTGAACGCCCGGGTGGTGGGCTCCAGGGAGAAGGGGAGGAGAGAGCACTTGGACAGCAAGCACTGACATTTAGTGGGAAGTGGGTTTGAGAAAAACCGACCCTAATCGAGCCATGGAACTATCTTTACAGCCCCTGCTTGGCTGCGCTCAGGTTTCTGGGTTCCTGGGGCCTGTCTCAGAGCCGTCGTTCAGAGGGGAGAGGGGAGAGCCAGCCATTTCACCGAGGCCCGGGGCGCACCGAGAGCGAGCCCGCCCAGGCCTCCCCCCCTGGTGCCCTCGCCTGTGAAGTGCGAGGCTCTGGGCCTTGGGGAGCCATTCACACAGGCTGGATGTATGGCGCCCCTGGAATCGTGCCACGAGACAGCCCTCTTAGGCCTCCCTCTCCCTTCTACTGCAACAAATCTACTGTTAACTGTTTTACATCTTGGGCCCAAGATTTTGTCAGAAGAGGAGATTTAGCTGCTAACACAACAACAGCAAAGCAACCGTGCACCAGAGAGCAGTTAAGGTCCTTCTGAACCCGACTGTCCAGGGCTGCCTCCCTCGCCTGCCTTGGAGCTCCGTCCTGGAGACAAAACACAGAACACCTAACCCTGGGTGACAGAGCAGAGTGCAGTACCATCACCTGGGCAGTGGGAAATCTGGAGGGAGGCAGGGACGAGAGAGAGAGAGAGAGAGAGAGAGAGAGAGAGAGAGAGAGAGAGAGAGGGAGGGAGGGGAAGCAGATTTCCTCAGCTTACCTGGTGGGGAGTTGACAAATACTGACTCCAGTTTCTTATTTTAAATTATAAAGGTAACCACCGGAAGAACTAAAAATAATCCTGTAACTAGCAAAAAACTGGGAGTGGAAGTGGGGAAGAGAGGTGGAAGGAAGGAAGGTTAGCTGAATTCCTCAAATTTCATAGCTGGAGGTGATTAAATAACTTTTCAAGTTGGGGAGTCAGGTTTTTCTGGACAACACTGGAATAAACAAATGGAAATAGTTCCAAGTAGGAGGAGAAGAGGCCTGGCAGGAGGAGTTTATTGTAAATAGTAATTTTATGCCTTTCTGAATTGTTTAAAATTTTTTTCATAATGGATTCATGTTACAATTAGTTAAATGGGTAAAAATTTAAGTGGGGAGCACAATTTGATGCCCTGAGGGGCCCCAAGCGTGGTGGGGGAATAAGAAGGCCCTGGACTTGGGCCAGCAGCGGGCAGGGAGGGGGAGCAGGGAGGGGGACTCTCCGGCCTGAACGGCTCAGAAGAAGACCTGGGTCAGGTCTGTGATTCAAGTGAGCACACGTAGCTGTGGACTTGAACCTCCGGGCTCACACCCCTGCCCACCCAGGTGTCCCTGCGGGCTCATCGGCCTGGGGCCTGGGTTGCTACCACCTGGGACTCACAGGACCTAAGCACTTGTCCCCTGGACCATCTAGGTGTGCAGAAATGGGAAGATGCTCTGGCCTTTCTGGACTCTCAAGTGTGTTAGCTGTCATCATGGCCACTGGAAACGTCCCAATATCCATTAGTGAATGCTGTTTTCTTGGCCCTAGCCTCTGCTACAGTAGCATCATGTAGACCAGGGTTTCTTAATCTCAGCACTGCTGACATTTGGGGCCAGATAATTCTTTGTTAAGGAGGCTGTCCTGTGCATTGCGGGATGTTTAGTGGTATCCCTGGCCCCTACCCACCAGACGCCATAGCACCACCCTAGTCAGGACAAGCAAAAGTGTCTCCTGGGGGCAAAGTGGCCCTGGCTGAGCAGCACTGGTGGGGACGGCTGAGTCAGATCAGTGTCAGAGCACACGTGTCCTAAGATAGCGAGTTTAAGCCCAGAGGCTCCCACTGCAAAGCTGGGCACAAGATTGCAAACGTGGGGTGCGTTTCCCGAAAGCTAGGGTGCAATCCCAACGTCCTCAAGACAGAAGACATGTCCCCGGCCGATGTAAACCATCCCAGGGGTCTGGGGCCTCTGATCTCAGGGCCAAGGGCCTGTCCCTTACAACCTCAGAGACACTGGAGTGATGAGGCAGCAGGCAGGCCTGTGGTCCTGCTGTCACAGCGACCTTCAACCCTCTCTGGCTTTCACTGCACCTCCTCCCCCCACTTCACCCTCTCTTCTCCCCCCTTCTCTTCCCTTCTCTCTGCTCCTCACTTCTTTCCTTCCCGTTATTTAGTTATCACACAGTGGCAAAGTATGTTTGATTATTTATTATATTTGTTGGATGGATTACATATTCTTTATTTTTAATTTTAAAGATAGAGGAATGGAAAGTTTAATGTCTCTAAAATAAGACAAAATGGCACCATATAAGTTATTTCCTGCCTATACGGCTCTTGATTTGTACTTATGGGGTCAGGGGTTCTCCAGGAAGAAAAAAAGTCGCCACACTGAACACCTTCCTTCTGGGGTGCCAGGTCCCAGCCCTCTGGGAGCCCCGCTGTTGGCTGTCTCTGTGCCTCCCACCCCAACTTCCTCCTCATCCTGGGGTCAGGAGGAGAAGCCCCTTCCTGTTTGTCCCCGAGCCTATGGCGGAACATCTCACAGCAGTTCAGACCCGGGCCCAGGATCCCTCCACCCACCCCTCCCACGCCCGCCTCACTGCCGGGCTCGCGGCCCCCCTCCGGCCGGGCACTCACTATTTGGCGGAGTCGTTGAGCTGATACTCCCGAGACCTGTTGAAGCACTCCTGGATTCCTGAGTCGCCCCACAGTCGCATCATGGCGGAGAGCAGCTCTGCAGAGAAGGGCTCGGTGTCCTCCATCCGACTCACCACGTCGCACACCATCTTGGCGTCGGCCTGTGAGGAGAGAGGGACAGTGGCTTTGAGGCCTCAGTGGGGACAGGAGCCCTGGCCAGGCACTTCCCAGGGCACTGGGACAACGGCTCAGCTCTCGGCCTGGTCAGGAGAAGCGGGCCACCAGCTGAACACCCCCTGCATCTGGACACACGTGCGGGCCCTGGGGGACGAGCGCCTTCAGGGCCTTCCATCACAGGGACGTTCTAAAGTGCAGTTTCCAACCACGCCCCACGCGGCCCTAGGGTCTTCTGTGGGCAGGAGGGAGTGTGAGGGGTCTGTTCTCCACCCTCCAACCCAACCAGAGTGCCTCTGTTTTCATCTCTCTGAAAACTGGAGTTTTGCATAGTATTTGTTTAGGGAAAAAAAAAAATCAATGCTCTTGGTTAATGTTGTAATTTTCTATACTTCTCACCCAGGTGGAGTCAAGTCCGTAGAACTGGGCTACGGGACTTGGCATCAGGGAGCGGGGCATTTTGGTTATTTGGGAATTCCAGTTAGCCGGGGGACTGGACCCCAGTGGAGCTGTACCTCGGGGTGGGGGTCGGGGGGTGAAGAGGTTGGTTCTCTCTTCAGGTGAAAATGCCTGGTATCAGTACTAAATCTTCAGAGCTTATGCTCTTGGATGGCCCAAAGTTAAAACTTAATTTTATTAAGTTTTAGTTACTTATTTGCCCTTGACCTGTGGCCTACCTTTCCCTGTGGGCTGGGGGAGTCCAGACAAGAGAAGGGTAAGGTGTGAGTAATGAGACAGGGAGCCCGCCCTTTCTCTGCCCCCTGCCCGTCCCCCTCTGTGTGCTCGAGGCTCACACATGGAGGCTGATAAAAAGTGCTGGAACTGCGTAAAAAGTGCTCCGTCATTAACAGGTACCTTCCCCTGTCCCCTCATCCTGGATACCAAACAGGCTCACCCATTTTCAGACTGCCAGTGAATACATGTAACACTAAAACCAGGAAGGCAGTGGTCTCTGAAGACTCAGAGGCTCTTGGCAAAGCCATAGGCTTCACATCACCAGCACCTTGCACATGCACATAGCACTTTACAGTTTACAAAGGATGCTCCTGTGCACATACACTATTTCCTTAGAATTTCACAGCCACCTCCTGAAGGAGCTGTGGGAGACTGCGTTAATGGGCCTGGGTCTTCACCTCTGCCTGTGTCCGTGCCCTTCGCCCCGGATCTTTGCAGAATGTATTTCCTGCTATTGACTGTGAGCGTGGCATGGGACTTGCTCCAGCCCCTAGAAAGATGTGAGAATTCCGTACCCAGCCCATAAGAGGCCTTGCACGTTTCCACTTGTCCTCTTGGGCCTCTACCATCACCACGAACATGCCCAGGCCCTCCCATTCATCCCAGGAAGAGGAGGAGGGGTGCACGGAGCAGAGCTGAGCCCACCCCGGGTTTCTGATCCCCAGCTGAACCTCTGCCCTGTGACAAGAAATGACTGCTGTTCTAAGTGACTGAGTCAGGGGAGGCTTGTTAGACGGTACTGTTGTGGCAATAACTAACTAGTACAGCGGTCACTGTGTTACTCCCCATTTTACAGGTCAGGAAACTGAGGGCCAGAGAGAGGAAGGTGCTCACCTACAGTCACAGGTGGTAAGTGGCAGAGCTGACTCAAGATCAAGGCCAGCCTCTGATCAGACCCGCACGTGCTGAGAGCAGCCACTGACTACAGCACCTGTGATGGCAAACGATGCCTGACGGAGCGAGGGTCCCCACCGAGGGGGACGGGCATTAACCAGATGGTCTGCGCTCCATCTGAGATGTGAGATGACCGCTGCTTCTCCTCTCTGGGTTGGAGCAGGTGGGTGTGAACCAGGTGCTGCTGTGGAGCCCGTGCACACCCGGGGCCCGCCCTCAGGTTGCCCCCAGAGGGCTCCTGCAGAGGGACTGCTTCCTGCCTCTGTCTGGCTGCGCGGTTGGGGAGTTAGGGCCCAGGACAGACAGGGGTGGGCGAATACCCCGGCTTCCTTGCCCTCACAGGGAGATAATTCTGAGACGTGTCTGAGTCTCTCAGAGGATCTGAGCCCCAGCTGCCCAAAGTCGCAGCCCATGCATCACTACATCCTTTACCCCTTTATTGTTTCCCTCCCTTCCCTGTGTCACTTCCCTTCTCCCTCGGTGCTTCCTGAAATGATCTCCCAAATAAACTCCTTGTCTCAGGGTCGGCTCCCGGAGGAACCCAACCCAGGACGACAAGGTGTCTGCCTGAGCCCAGGCACCCAGCAAACCCTGTCTGCTGAGCCTTCGCACAATTCTCTGGGTGACGCGGCCTTGCTCAGACCACTCTCCTGACCCAAAAGCAAGGAGGCCGCCACCTGCGTGGCCCCTCTGGCCTGCAATCCCCCAGCGAGCCCTCTCTGCCTCTGCCCCGCGGCCACTGCCTGCCCAGGCCCCACGCTGCAGCTGCTGGGCACTGCCAGGCGACAGCAACAGGGAAAGAGATGTACTTTGGGAGCAAGGCCAAGCAAGGAGTGGGCACGTGAGCACGCTGGCCCTCACGTCCAGACGCCCACAGTCCTGTGGGGCCCAGGCCCGGTCAGGGGTCTGGAAAGGCAGGTGTGGGAAGCCAAGGCCTGGAAGGCGATGAGGCGGCTGCTGGGCATGTGACCCACTCTGGGCCAACTGGTTTTTCCTGGGGAGTTTTCAGTGGGCTGAGCTTAAGAGGATGTGCCTCAGAGTCAGTGCTGTCACCAAGACCACGTGCCACCCACGGAGAAGCCCATAGGAATGAAGTCACCAGAAAGAAGCGGGAAAGCATCAAGGTGTTCAGGCCTCCTCACCCTGTGTCCTGGCCCCTCGCACACACCAGGCCCCAGATAGGACACGCAGCACTGAGGGAGGCAGATCCAGGGGGCAGAGTGGGCCCCAGCTCGTCACCTGGGCTGGTCAGTAGCTGCAGCACTCCCCCGGGACCCCTCCTCCAGCCGCCTTCCGCCTGGTTTCAGCCTGCATGGGCTGGAGCCACGGTAAGACGGAGCCCCTGGGGGGAGCCAGGAGTGAGGCACACCAGGCGGCCTTCTTCCTGACCTCACGGGCCCTCCAGAATCGGGGTCTTGTCTTCATGGGCACAATAGTTATTCCCAGACGACTACTCCATTCTCAAGCCCGTTCAACCCCTCAGCCCTCCAGCTGAGGCCAAGGAGAGACAGATGCCCCAGCCCGTGGCACGCGGTTCAGGAAGCGAGTGGGAGGGGCTGGAAATCTGCAGGTGTCCTTTGGGGTGGGAGACACATGAAGGAAAGAGGTCAGCGCCTGGAAGCCTTGTGGCGGACGACGGAAGGTTCTGTAGGAAGGTACGTGGGTCCAAGGGCCCCGTGGAGACTTTTCCAGATTTGACATATGCAGTTAAGTAGCTATTTACATGTCAGAGCCTGTCTACTGCAGAAGGTGGATGGGAAGCTTCCAGCAGCTGTGTCCCCTCCCCACCGCCTGCCCTGGGAAGGAAGCTACCACTGGCCTGCAGGCTAGCAGGCCAAGTCTACAGGCAAGCCCAGATCCAGCTTCCCAGGGACAGTGTGCCACAGACCCCAGCCCTCGGGTTCCTGAGTCACCCTCAGCTGACGCAGAGGGCTGCCCACCCAGACAGCCTGGCCTCCCAGGTTCTGAGCCTCAGAGATGAGTGTCTTGAGCCTCTGAGCCTCCCCTGGGGGCAGTGACTTGGGAAGCTGGCCCTGGGGCCTGGGCGTTGGGTGCCCCAGGCAGGCAGTGACTCAGGGAGGCAGGGGTGGGGAGCAGGGGTGGTACCTCCACCTGAGGCTAAAAAGAGGCCTGTGAGTCAGGGGCGGACAGGCTGATGCTGCTGCGCCTGAGCGCCTGGGTGACCTCGGGAGATCTTGGTCCTTCCCTGGCTCTGCGCGCTGTCCCATCTGCGGTAGGCGGGGGTGAACCCGGCCAGACTCCCAAACTTCCTCCTCTGGGCCCACCTTCAGGGCTTCTTCTAGATCTGGGAGAAGGGAGTCAGGACCTGAGTGACGGGTGGAGCAAGACTTCCTGCTGGGTGAGAGACACTCCACTCTGAGCGCCCGAGAGCCACAGCGAGGGTGTCATTATAGACCACGGGCCTCCACAAAGCCGCGTGGGACTCCTGTCTGTTCCTGTGCCTGACGTGGAATTCTGTGACTCCCATTCCAGCGGGACGTACCGCACAGCCAGGGGAAGGCTGGACCAGATGGTCTCCCGGGAATTCGCCAGCGGACGGCCCCAGGGTCTGGAGCTCTCCCCCCAGCTCCGTCTCATCACCACGTGTGGTGGTGGCGCGGGGTGCGCCCCGTGCAGGCGGCGCCCGCCCGCCCTGGCTGTTTCTCTCCCGTCTTCCCGGCTCCGTGTGTGGCACCACCACCGGCCCAGCTGCTCAGCCGCAGAAACTAGCAGCCATCCTTGGTTTTGCTGCTTCCCTCCAGCGTCCGGTGTCCGGGGGTTTTTCTCCCAAGTCTGTTTTCCGTCAGTCCACTTCTCCCAGCTCCTCTCGCACATTCCTGCGTCCAAGCCACCGCCATCTTTTTCCTGGCTGCCCCTTCTCCCCTCCCCAGGGCTCCCTGCCTCCCTTGCTTCTCTCCAGTCTGTTCCTCAGATAGCAGCCAGCAGGAGACCATGAGTTTCCTCCTAACATCAAGTTTCCGCTTCTCCTTCAGAAAAAGAACGCCAAAATTTAACTGGGTACCCTGACATCCAACTACAAGCCTGCATTCCCTAATTTTGCTTGCAGCTAGGTGTGACAATGTGAAAGTTGTACTCAATCAGAGGTAAGCCAAAGTGTAGTGAGGTCTTCGGAAAAGTCTTTTTAAAGGGAAGGCGCACCCTTTTCTTCCCCCTTCCTCCTTTCTGAAGCCTGGAACTTGGATGTGATGGCTGGAGCTCTAGCAGCCAACTTGAATCATGAAGACAAGGTCTACAAACTAGGGATAGTGGAAAGGTGATCTGAAAACAGCCTAGGTCCTTGACAACTTTGTGGACATTCCATACCATCTGGACTTCTTTATTTTCTACATTTAAAATA